CCTTAGCAAAGCGCATCCCAGGCTGCATAGCCGCACTACCCTACCCAACCATACCACACATAAACATGACACTACCCCCGGGGTTTACACAGACGAGCCGGCGAAGCAAGAAGAGCGCCAGAAGAAAGGGCCCTAGCCGGCGGGGCCCAGCCAGGACAAAAGGAGGTCCCACAAAGCGCCTACACCGGCCGCATTTGCGGTCGGGGTAGACGACGGATGGGGCCCACCTACGAAGGCTGTCCAGGCCTACACGAGATGAGGCAGGATAAAGAGGGATAATCCCCCTCGATCCCAAATCATTGAGGCCAATTTCTAGCCATAGAATAATGGCGCGGCGCGATTTACATACGTCATTTTAATTTTTTCGATTTCTTGTTTTTATATTGATGTCAGTATGAACTTATAACTCCTTAGTTTTATAACGGCTCATTTTGTCAGGACACCATAAAAGTATATGTGCAAATGTTGAGAATTCCCAACTCAGAAGAAAATTGCGAACGAAACGAAAGCTATGCCTTCAAGTGATCGAATCCTGGAGATCGAATCGCTCACGACTCGCAATTGACACATCTCTAGTAAATAAAACTACTATATTTTCGTTTTTTGTCATTTGTCAAAAGTTGAGGTAATTCGATGTCAAGAAAAATTATTTGTGTTAGTGATTGGTCTATAGTTAATAATTTTTCTTTATTAATTTTAGAAACACATTTAAATATTTAAATAATGCAGAGTTTTGTAAAGAATACTATCATGATAGTATTTAATAAATATGGTTTTAGTGTGAAAGTGTAAACAACTAATTGTGTCAATATTGCTGAACAGTTATATACTTTTTCAAGTAAATAATCATATCCAATAGTCCATCAGCAAAAAAATTGGGATTCTTACATCTTTAATAATATGAAGGATCAATTAGCTCGAACACTTTTTGTTTTTAGCAGTTTTGCTTTCGTTTGTAATAACATTATAGGTAAGAAACAATTTTGTTTTATAAATTAGAAATAGTTTCTTTGCTTGAATATTTCAGCTACTGTGAAAAGTGTTCTAAATCGCTGCTACAAAGATATTAATTTTAATCAAATTTAACAATGTAAAATAATAGCCCACTGACCAGACAAAAAAATTGTTGCACACAAATACAAATTTGTACTTACCATTATCGTTAAGGAATTATGGAAGGGATAACCAGCGATTGCTTTATAATTATTACGAATAAGTTTTTGAAATATAAACCTGATTTTTGTTCCTTTTTTTAATTCAGCATAGATCACTGAGGTGTATACATTTATTTATATAAGTATGTGTACACTTATTTGTAAAAAAAGAGTCATTGGTGTACTGATTGTTATGTTCAATTGATTTAAATAACTAAAATGATATAATAAATTTTAATGATAAAAACAGTTCAGAGCACTTTAAAGACAAGCATATAAAAGGTCAGCGCGAATATCAAATGCAAGATGGATGCTACAGCTGTATATTTTTGTACAAAAGTAGTCATTGAGAATTAACTACATACTACAGTAGTCAAATCCTTGGAGGTGGCACTTGGATCACTTGCAGCAATATTTAACTGTATAACCTTAGATTTGACAATATATGATGCAGTCAAAGTGGACTTTCTGTGAATTGTAGCTATTTCGACATGAACTGCAAAAGCGGCAGCGATTTGCCCTACGATACAAAGCACGCGACATTGATTTAGAAAGTAATTCTATTTCTGATTAGGAAATTGACTCTTTCTTGGTGATAACACAACAACAATTAAAAAAATTACTGGCAAATCTATAGGGTGTCACCTAACGAATGTTACATACTTTAAGGGTAAAATGATGTCGATTTAACCAAACTTGCCTAAACGAAAAATGTCGCAAAAAAATTACAGGGTGTCAAAGTTTATCTTTTATTTCTTGTTTTCTCCTTAACTCAGAACCCAGTTAACTTATTTCAGAAAAATTTGCTGTTGCTTAATTTTTCTTCATAAAGTATGCAGTGATTATGTTACTATTAGGTTAAATCATGCAGGGCATTCATTTTACTACAACCCTTTGTGAATATTCTTCTATAACTTTTTTGTACGTTTAAATTTTTACATGCAACTATCAGAAATAGGTAGAGAATTTTATTCTACACTAAAAATTTATATCTACTTTTCAAAAGTCAAAATTATGCCCGGTTATGAAGATATACAGAAAATATTATTAACACATAGGTACCCCATATTATTTGGAAATAACTACGTGTCCATAATATCATGACAATTTCGATAAGTCACTGTCAAGTTTGTATTTTGCAAAAGTTTATTTTTGAAAATGCTTCATCCCAATGAATTTACGAATTATGAAATGAGAGACATGATAGTTGCATATGTACAGGAACATTTTACTGGATGCGCTGCTAAGAGAACATATGAAGAATTTTATCCAAATCGCAGACAACCTACTCATGTATTGTTTGCTCCTTTATTCATCAGATTAGGAGAAACTGAAAACTTCCGGTCTAATTCACGAAATGGAAGGTACTTTTAAAGAAGGGTACAAGACGAAGAAAAATTTCTAACAGGAGTAGACCAAAATCCCAAAATTAGTATTCACTGTTTGTCAGCAGTCACAGGAGTTGGCAGCAAACCGTTGCAACTATACTCCACACGCAGCAGTTACAATGTTTCCGTTTTCACCCTGATTCACAAAATTTGTTTGAACCAGACCGCCCACTGAGATTTTGCAAACGATATCTCCAGATACATAACAGGGATCACACTTTTCTCGGAGGAATTGCCTTTATATGTGAAGCTGTTTTTACCATTAAAGGTGTTTTTAATTGGAAAAACTCTCACGTGTGGAGCGAAGAAAATCCACGCACAATGAAAGAGCATCACTTCCAACACGAATTTTTGTAAACGTCTGGTGCGGAATTATAGGAAATTTTATTTTGGATCCTACCTTCAAGGTTGAATGGCTAAAATTATTTGGATTTCCCTTGGCAAGAACTTCCTGGGGCTCTCGAAGAAGTACCCATTAATACTAGATGACATGTGGTTTATGTACAATGGTGCCTCTGCTCATTACAGCCATTTGGTGAGAGATCATTTAAATTAAGCATTTCCAAACGGTTGAATTTGTCGAGGTAGTGACTCTCCTTGGCCTTCTCACTGTCTGGATTCTAATCCGTTAGGCTTCTACTTTTGGGGTCATTTGAAAGGAATTGTTTACAACTCTGTAACACCTAAGTAATACAGGAGAAGAACTTCGGGATAGAATAAAAGACACCATACGACAAGTTACGAATAATTCGTTTCCATTTTCACTAATTTCATAAAACGTTTCAAGGAAATGTGTTGAAGAAATTGAGGGACACATAGAACATTTATTATAAATAAGTAGACTTTTTATTACTGCCACCCGCTGCCACCTTTCAGTTATGTAATTAATTATATTATTTATTATGTTTATTATTAGATATGTAGTTATTTCAAAAAAATATGGGGTATGTGTTAATAAATATTTTCTGTAATATTTTCATAGCCGAGCATAACTTAGACTTTTGATAGGTATACATTTTTTGTGTAAAGTAAAATAGATGTGTACTTGCGTGTAAAAATTTAAACATACAAATAAGTTGCAGTAGAATATTCACAAAGGGTCAGAGGCGAATCCAGGGGGGGGGGGGCTATGGGGCTGCAGCCCCCCAGAAACAAACCACTGAGATACTTTTTTTTGGAGTATCACATCCTTTACCTGTTTGGTATCTAGCTCAAGAAACAAATGACTTTGATCTATTGGTCAAATTTTATGAGAATGACTTACCTACTTGAAAACGGTGCTTTTATCAATACTGAACATGAACGTGCTGAATTTCCGAACATACACGAGCTTTTCAGAATAGTTGCAATAATACCAGTGACAACAGCAACTGCGGAAAGAAGCTACAGTAGCTTGGGAATATTAAAGACGTACTTGAGAAATACGACAGGGGAGAATAGACTCACCTCTTTGGCCCTTATGAATATACACTAGGAACAGAAATTAAGGGATATTTTAAAAAATCCCAAAATTTTGGGTGATTTTCAAAGAGCTGTAACTTGGAGGGAAATGGTCGTAGAGAGAATAAAAAAAAGGAGGAAATTGAAGCTTCAAGTGTCTAGTTTTCGGATCTGGAGTTTAAAATTTTTTAGTGTTAGCAGTTTTTGAGTAATCATAAGAAAATCAACGAAAAAAAATTGCAAATAATTTCATTCTCTTCAATTTGAGCGGTTCCGGAGCCTTGTACGATTATTTGTTGCTGAGTTATTGTCGATCAAAGTAAAAAAATCACTTTTGACTTTGGCATACAGTTACTCGGAAAATAATGGTCGTACAGAAAATCCAAGCAGGGTTTTGAAAACTGCAAAGTAAAAAATGATAAAAACAATTTTACTAATATCGACATAAATGTTGATGAGGTGCTCAACAAATTAGGTTAAAAAAGCTGTCAGCGTCGAATAAATATTATATTGTGATTGAACAAATTGATACTATTTTATATTTCATCTTCACGTTTCTAAAATCTCAATTCAGGTACCTAACATATAAATAAAAGATTAAGAAACTACCTTATTTTAATCTAATACAATTTAGAGACGTCAAGACAATATAATTTTTTATGACCTGAGCCCCGCCCAGAGCTAAATCCTGGATTCGCCACTGCAAAGGGTTGTAGTAAAATGAACGTCCTGTATGATTTAACCTAATAGGATAGGAACATAATCACTGCATACTTTATGAAAAGGAACTAAGCAACAGCAAATTTTGCTCAAGTCGGTTAACTGGATTCTGGTGACAAAAAAATATAAGAAGTACCTACCTATTATGGCATTAAGCAAAATAATACTTTTTTATATTGAAAAAAATTTCGGAATATTCAAGTATTAATAATAATTAATTTATATCTCTAATAATGACAATATTAGTAGTATTAAAAATATGTTTTTTTTAAAAATTAGTCATCATGATTTACTTCTATAATAAAATTGGTTTAATAGAACACATCCGTAAAAAATTAAAATGTCAAATTTATTTTAATTTGAAAAAAAAAAAGATCCTACTCTAGAATCTGTGTCATAAATTTACATATTGAAAGACGATTTTTTGAGAATTATTCGAAAAAAAAACACTTGGTTTAGAAAAAAAAACTAAAAATGTATTTTATATTTTTTTTTATAAAACTGTATATAAAAATAACAAAATAAAAAAAGGTTACATCTTAGTTTTTTGCCGTGTTACAGTTAGGTATTTGAAAAAGTTTTTGCACAAAATACTTATTCAAATACTAGTAACGTCTTGAGGGGTTGAAACAAAAAATTTAAAAAATTCATGAAAGCTCCTCTAAATGGGGTAGTAAATAATACCAAAAGTTATATAAAATCATGTAAAAAAATATATCATTTAAAAACAATAGAATGTTTTTTTTTTATTGTTTGAGGCTTTGTCCACATAGATATAAAAAAAAATAAGGTGACTTTAAAATAATACGTCCCTAAGTCATCCAAAAGCAATCTGATTTACTAAATTATTTTCCTTTGATGCTCTCTAATAGTTGTTTTAAAAAAATAACAACTTGCAATGCTAATAAAACATACCATGCTAATTCACTTTAAACAAGAATTAAAGTGTGGTTTTAAAAACTAATTATAACCGACTATTTATTTGATTAAAAAAAAGGAATTTCAGTTTTGTATTTAGGGGAGCACGTACTATTTCTCTTAAAAAATGACCCCCATTTAAAGTTACACCCTGTATAATGCACTCAATTTTTTTTTGTTTCAAGGTTCGAAATATTTTTTTGTATACACTCGCTGTTATAAATACGATTGCTACTTATAATAATAATTTAAAATATTCCTTTTAGCTTCTAAGAAAATGCCAATGAGTATATTAAGTGGAACACCCTGTACAACATGTACTGTTGACGATACTCTTAATATTGTTTTCTTTTGACGGTGTTTTACAAAAAAAAAAAAATCAAGAGAAACAAAAATTCTGGTCAGAAATGGTCTGTTCAAATCTTTAATCTTGCTAATTTTGTTTGGGGTAATCGTACTGTACCATGTTCAAAAACTTGTAGAATACTATACATGCAGGGTGTCCCAACAGGAATCGCCACCATGGATATCTCGGAAATTGCTCATCCGATAAATTTGAGAATTTGGCGACCTAGGAAAGGCGGTAGGATGTTCCATTTAAGTTAACAAAGTTATAACTGCAAACAGTTATATATGTAACAGCAATAATGAAACATCTGGTATTAAATGTTTTAATTTATTGGTACACCATAATTTAGTATTACCTATGACTTTTGCTGGTACATATCAAAAATCCACTTGATATCGGGCTCCTGACAAGAGTTACTAGCAGCTCCGCGGACCCTTGCACTGTCAAATTTTTCCTTTAAAAATTAATATCTCAAAATCTATAACTCCTAGGTACGTTTAGGGAATATATAATAAAGTGGCCCTCAAATTTTATATAAAATCCGAAAATTCAATAATATATAGGGCGTTCCATGTAAAATAAGAAAGTTATGTTGACTTCCGGTATAACTGGAAGTGCCATAAAGTTCTAAATATTTTAGCTATGTTGGCCCTACTGCCTTTGCTAGGTTACCAAATTTTCAGATTTATCGGATAAGTAGTTTCCGAGATATTGATAGTGGCGATTCCTGGTGGGACACCCTGTATATAGAATAAAACTTGTTGCTCATACTGTCTTTGAAAATTGTGGGTTCCCTACAAATTGTTGAGGGAAAAAAGAAATTTGTAATACTTTTTTTTATTTTGACTACTCAGTTATCAAAGTTTTTTTTAATGTTGCCTTTCCTGTATACATTTTTTTCTGTTTCAGAAGTATGGTCGTTAAAATGTAAATGTGATATATGTAAAACTACAAATTACACCTGTGAAACAGACGGTTACTGTTTTACATCGGCATTTATCAAGTTTGGAGTTCTGCAATACAATTACAGGTATGTTCTTTTAGATATTAAAAATTTGTTTTTTTTATATTCTTTTACCTTCCAATATGCAAGGTGTTAACGAAATAAGTACTCAAAATTGGAGAGTATGTAAAACATGTCGAAATATGATCTAAACCAGTAGATTTTTTGGCAGTGGCGGCCCCTAAGGGAGATACAGCCTCTTGAAGGGATAACTCAGGAAACAGTTTTTATTTCATAACTTCAAAACGGTTTAATATTAAATCACGAAAATTTAGGGTTGTATTATTATTTATATGTTTAATAATCACAGGTCAACAAGGGTCAGGAAGCTGACACACTAATATGCATTCCCGAAGGATTTTGGTGCGCTTAATCCGAATCTGGCCGTAGAATTGCTATTATCACGTTAGGTTTTTGAGATATCCTAACCTAAAAGTGCAAAAAACACTGTTTTTCGTCGTATTTGAGATTATGTAGTAATAAAAAAATACATATAATTTAAAAGTACAAGGCTCCCTCTTTCGAATGCCGTTGAGTTTGCTATCTTTTTTTTTTCGTTGAGATATCACATGTTGAAACTAAGTTTATCAGTTTCTTAATATGCGAAAATCTATTAAGGATCCCTTAGACGTTAAACAGTTGATTGCAGTTCAGAAACTTCATACTCAGAAACCTTCAATACATACGAACTCATACTCACAAACTCCAAATCCACAAACCCACAAACCCAAAACCCACAATCCCTAAATCCACAAACCCCAATCCCACAAAACCCGAACCTACAAACTCCAAGCTTACAAATCCCAAGCCCACCAACTCCAAACTCACAAACCCTATGGGTATGAAGTTTCCGAATTGCAATCAACTGCTTGATGTCTAAAAGCTGTTTTACATTGACAATTTATTGATCAATTAATTGATGAAGTCGCTTCATCAAGAAATTGGACAAGTGTAATGCACCAAATCTGCTGTCAAATAACTTGATGAATTTATTCATCAAGTTCTTGACGAATTAAGAGCATGTTCTAATTTTCGTCAATTTCTTCGTGAAGTTCGGAAGTACCAACCCAACAGATTTCCAGCCTCAGATCAGTACTGAGGTTAAGTTATTGGAATATGTAAATAATTGTGTGGCGTCGTGCTAGTTTTGCATTGTTTTTACCGATTTGTTACTTACAAAAACTAATATTTATATAATATGTGTCACAATGGTACCGCTGTTGTATCACTACAATTATGAGTGAAAAGGTGACATTTTTGAAATTTATTTGCTTCTTTGATTCATTGGTAGAACTCATTCATATGTCAAAAAACTTGACAAAGTCTGTAGCAGTGTAAAACCACACTGTTTAGCAATAAATTCGTGAACTAATTTATGAAGAACTTTGTCAATTTATTGATGAATAAATTGTCAATGTAAATCAGCTATAAGGGATCATTAGTAGATTTTCGCATATTAAGGAACTGAGAAACTTAAAAATTTCAACGTGTGATATCTCAACGAAAAAAAAAAGAAATTTGAGCAAATTCAAGGCATTCGAAGGAGGGAGCCTTGTACTTTTAGATTCAATGTATTAGTTTTTTGGAAAAGAATAGATGGCATTACTACATAACCTCAAATATTATGAAAAACAGTGTTTTTTGCACTTTTATGTTAGGATATCTCAAAAACCAGACGTGATAGAGCAATTCTGCTGCCAGATTCGGATTCGGCTTACCTAAATCCTTCGGAAATACATATATGTTCAAGTTTGTGCTTCCAAAAAAAGTTAAATTTTGTTGGTCAATCGGTATAACATACAAATCAAAATTTGCTACAGGGGCCTAAGAAAATGCGGGATCATGGGGCAAATTCTAAAATTTTTTTTGTACTCAATTTTTTCTGTTTCCTGAACCGAAAATATGAAAATTTATCATAATGAATTATTGAAATGGACTTAACTAGAAAACGACTCATGCTATTAAAATCTAACAAGACTACCTTTTTTATGCAAAATATGATAAATTTTCATAATTTCGGTTTAGGAAATAGAAAAAAATTGAGTACAAAAAAAATTGTAAAATTTGCCCCATGGTCCCGCATTTTCTTATGCCCCTGCAGCAAATTTTGATTTGTATATTATGCCGATTATTAAGCATATAAATAGTAATACAACCCCAAAATTTTGCGATTTAATATTAATCTGTTTTGAAGTTATGCAATAAAAACTGTTTCCTGAGTTACCCCTTCAAGGGGCTGTATCTCTCTTAGGGGCTGCCACTGACAAAAACCCTACTAAGGTTTTCATCATATTTCGACATGTTTTACATACTCTCCAATTTTGATTACTTATTTCTTTAACACCTTCTATACTTGTATTACACTTAATTTTAGCCATCATTGGTAACTTGAAAATGAAAAAAGATACAGAACAGGTCAAATTAGGAAAAGTAATTTTGAATTTATTATAGAGATGAATTTGAAATGGGAATATATTAAAATTAAATTAAATTTAATTTCAAGATTTATGCTACCTATTAAATTTTTGTTTCGGAAAGGATTCGTTCATTTATTCATTGCAAGTTTTTACTTATGTTTAATTTTGTATAAAATATTTTAATATGCATTAGAGCAGCGGTTTTCAACCTTTTTTCATTCGAAGACCCCATCACAAAAATTTTTATATTCGAGTACCTACCCCTTATCTTAAACCTTACAATTAGTATAATTAGCACTGGGGCAAATATACTTTACTTTTAGTTTAGTCTTCTGGATTAAGCTAGTTGCTGTTTTTTTATTTCTTAAATAAACAAATAAAGAGCTATGTAATATTGTGGAGTACTGGAAACTAATGTAAAAGTTAAATTATTAATTAATATCATTTTTGTTTTCGTTTCTATGTACCTATCTATTTTAGACAAGAGCCAGAGGCAAAAAAATTGTTTGAATTTAATAAGCCTAGTAAGTATGTAAGCCTTTTTGATAGTTGTGTACAGAAACATACTGTAGTCAGTCAAGCGTGAACAGGTGTCTCAGGTACCCTATCAATTGTCGCACATAGCGAGGTAAAAAAATTAATTTACTAAGGCTGAAAATCGTTTTCTCCATTCTATATTTATAAATAAAAGTTATGTCAGTCAATCAGCCGAATGTGGGGATAGAGCTGGTCAGTCAGCCCCAATATACTATGTATGTTTCGTTTACTATACTTCAAAACTTTTGTGCGGGTATTAATTTTTATTGTTATATTAACCATAAACAAAATGGAATATAGAATTTGTATATATGATTTTCAGCCTTAGTACATTCATTTTATTACCTCGGTAGGTACGACAACTTTGATAGTGCACCTGAGACACTTGTTCTCAGTTTCGCTTGACTGACTACAGTATGTTTGCGTACACAACTAGTGTAATCACCTATCAAAAAACTAGGCTTAATAAATTCAAACAATTTTTTTGACTCTGGCTCTTGGACTATTTTAGAGATCCTTTCATGTACCCCTTAAAACGATGTTAAGTACCCCTTGTTGAATACCACTGCATAAGAGTATTCTTAATTTTAATAGACATGCATTATAATGAAATTAGTAGCCAAATTGACATTGACATTCTGCATCATGAAACAATACAAAACGTATGAATCAGAAGTATATAAAACTCGTACTAAAAATTTGTATAATTATGCACCTTATTTTAATAATGTAATTTCTTACTGGCACTAACAAAGTACTGCAGAAAACTATTTACACACTGCAGTGTTTTAGTTTTACTATTTATTGTATCACATTTGCAGTAAATAGATAAATATTATAAAAAATCTATGTTTTCTCCAACCGTCACAAAACTGTGACATTTTTTGACTATCAGAAGTCTCTAAGGTTGACATTTTCCTTACTGAGACAAAAAAAATTGTATCTTAGCAACAAAAGTATTCACTTTTAATCCTAGGATCTAAAGTTAATCAAGTTTATAAAGTTTTATTCAAAAATATTTACAATAATTTTTATTTATCCACATTAATATTAAATATACACTTTGAACAAGTGTTAAAATTAAGTAAACCACTGAAACTGCCACTACCCTCATTCTTGGAGCAATTCTCGAAACAGTCCAACACGTTTTCATTAATAGTTATATTATTTTATGATGTTATGAAATCGGAAATGACAGTGGTGATTGTTTTATCATTACCACTATCAACTTTCAGTATTCTTTTCATAACATTTTCTTTATTCAAAAGTGAGTCTTCAATGTAGCCTTCCGCCACAGTGTTCGATCTCCATCCTTCATGTCTCTTAAGACAAGTGAGGTCACCACCGCCGTCAACTAAAAAGGTATCAGATATTCGTTATAATGCGTGTCCACTGTACTCTTTCCAGTTGTCCAGCTTCAAAAATTTTGCCACTTGCGAGACGGCACTGATTTTGTCAATACCGACCACCATTCGATAACACTTTCCACTAACATATCTGAAAAATAATCTATGTTCTACCAATCCGGGTGGATGTAAAGAAACATATTTTCAATAAAAACTTGAATAATTGTCTCCCAGCACAGTAAAAAAACATGGTTAGATTTGATATTGGAAATTTTTTTAATTAAGGCGGATTTCACATCTTCAACATTATCAATTGTTAAATTGACTAATTCATCAGAACGGCATGTGCTTGGAAACCCGCAATATTAGATTGACCTATAAAGAAGCTTTTAAAAAATTTTTTTCTTTTATTACGTGCATCGTAAGAATGTCGATTATTTCTTAGATATGTTACTGGAAAGTGTCATCGAATGGTGGTCGGTATTCATAATGTCACTGTTGTCTTGCAAGAAATGGTGAAATTTTTGAAGTTGGACAACTGGAAAGAGTACAGTGGACACGCCTTACGACGAACGTGTGCTACCCTTTTAGTTGACGGCGGTGGTGACCTCACTTGTCTTAAAAGACATGGAGGATGGAGATCGAGCACTGTGGCACAAAACTACATTGAAGACTCACTTTTGAATCAATAAATTATTGCGCAACCAAGCACTGTTGTCATTTCTTATTTCACAACATCTAAAAATTATATATTAACTTATTAATGAAAACGTGTTGGACTGTTTTTAAAATTGCTCCAAGAATGAGGATAGTGGCAGTTTTAGTAGTTTATTTAATTTTAATACTTGTTCAAACTGTGTATTCAATATCAACGTGGACAAACAAAAATTATTGTAAATATTGTTGAATAAACTTTTATAAATTAAAACTTGATTAACACTTTTAATCTAAGTATTAAAAGTGTCAACTTTAGCTCCTAGTGAATACTTTTGTTGCTAAGATACTATTTTTTGTTCTTAGTAAGAAAAATGTCAACCTTAGAAACTTCTGACAATCAAAAAATGTCATAGTTTTGTGACGGTTGAAGAAAAAAGTAATTTATCTTTTGTCTACAGTGTAATTCATAAGTAAGGGAAAACAATTAAGAGCCGATGGAACATCGAAAATTTAATAAAGTTTGCAATGTTAACATATTTTCTAAACTGCATTATTTTTTAAATACATGGTGTTGACGTTGTTAATGTTTCAGAGATTACTTTAATTACCTCTCAAATGGCAAATGTACAAAATATTTTTTAAATATTATTAGTTTGAGATATTTAAATCTCTGAAATTAATAGCTTCACCACCATGTATCTCAAAAACGGTGCATTCTATAAAAAATGTTTATATGACAATTATTTTTATATTGTAAATAAATCAAAGACAAATATGTATTTCAATTAGACGGCGCTCGTATACACATCAACACAGTCCTGTAAGAAATTGGCTCAACGAAAATTATCCAAATAAGCGGATAATTGATCCCGACAGCCTTTATACTACTTTCTGTAGAGAGTATTAACAGACAAAGTTTATAAAAATTGTCCACTACTGTGACTTACGCAGTCACTGGCTTTTAGACAACAACTAAGAAAAGTTGTTAGTAACAATAGAAGTAGAGAATAGATAAGCGCATTCTTTCAGAAGGAAACCTTGCAAGAACAAAAATTTAATAATTTAAGGTTCAACCTATCAAAATTTTATTTTTGATATAAAGAATATCTTACTACTTAACTATTACTCACTGTATATTTCAGTTAAGTATGATATAATTTTCAAATGAAAATTCCTGTTTTCATTTTGGTTATCCAAAATCCATTAAAACAAATATAATTTATTGATTAAACATTCAAATATAGGGTTTATTGCTTTATTTCGGGTTTATTCTACATAACATTCTGAACCCATATTGCCTAAAGGGTTGATTAAAGTAAAAAAAAATCTATTTATGTTATGATAAATCTGACCACGTTGGTCTTCACAAAACAGTAATTAATATTGTACTTAGGAATGGAGTCACTCGTGCTTGATAGATGGGAAATAGAGCTGTGCAAAATCTATTTCGATAATCAAAATAGACAAATAATTTTCAAAAGTGACATTCTTTCTTAAACTCAAATTGTATTTTTTATTTCATTGTCATTAGGAAAACTACACAAATTGTCCTGAGCACCCTGTATACTATCGGAACGAAAATTTGGTTAGTAGGTTTTTCTGGGGTCCTGCTCAAGAATCCGTGGGAATTTTTTGGATAAAAATATCCCTAATATGAACCAGAAGGTTTTTAGCTATATGGATTGCATCGTAGTCGGTGACGGTTTCAAATTTCAATGAACACGAGTTGTTATAGCAGTTGGTTTGACAAAATTAGGTATTAGGGCATGGGATGATGCATGGAATCTGATGGAGATATCGAGTTTTAGACAGAGCGTTCCATTTCTCAGGAAATCGATTTGCTTTCAAGTTTTATATCCATAGTGTGCCTCATTAATACTTACATTTAAATTATGTTTAACTAAGAATACATCCTGATAGAAAATTATACAGGCTGTTACAAATTCGCTTCTCACTATAGGGATACGAAGTAGCTTAAATGATGACAAAGTTGCGTAATCAGGGGACAAACTTTATGCCTCTAAAAAATCAAGGCTAATATGATTAGTTTTCGAAATATTAGAAAAAAAGCGAAATTTTGGAAATTCGTTTTTATTTAATTTCAGCCTTGTTTGAGGTGATATTGAAAAAAGAAGAACACTTTCTCATGGCCACTTTTGTCCTCTATCGAATGGCATAATCAATTTTTATACGTAACGTTTCGTTTCTCCAGGACCATGATCAACTTAATTTTTTTAAATACGACCCTGGAAATTTTATTATATTTTTTGCAAGCCTTTATGGCCCTCAGCTCGAACCAGATTGTAACGTGTGATGGTAATAGTTTAAATCACTAGGTGGATTTCACAGGGTCTGACGACACTTAGAGTGTACGATAATTGAAGAAACATAGAAATCTAAAAAAAATTTGATAAATTTGGAACGAATACATTGAAGATTAATTTTTATAGACAAAACGTCTTAATCTGGTTCGAGCTGTGGCAGTACAGTAAAAATCTAATAAAATTTCGAGGGTCGTATTTAAAGAAATGAAGTTGATCCTGGAGAGACGAAACGTTACATATAAAAATAAATACATATAAAAATGAAGTTGATGATGGTCCTGGAGAGACGAAACATTACATATAAAAATTGATTAATCCATTCGATAGAGGGCAAAAAGTTGCCATGAGAAAGTGTTATTTTTTCTATATCACTTCAAACAAGGCTGAAATAATAATAAAAACGAATTTCCAAAATTTCGTTTTTTTTTCAAATATTTCGAAAACTAATCATGTTAGCCTTGATTTTTTGAGACATACCCTGATTACACAACTTTGCCCCCATTTAATCTACTTCATATCTCCTACCTATTTCGAGATCCCTATATTGGGAAGTGAATTTGTAACAGCCTGTATATAAAAATGTTAAATTTCCTTGTATTTTCTTACAAAATTTGGAACCCAATTGAATCAATTACTCACATTGCCGCAGAAACAAATGTCAGACTTCTGTGGAATGCCATTGAACTATCAGAATAATGATATTAAAATATTTTAAACATACACACAAAGTGGAGTAATAAATGTATTTATGTATTTATAATTGCTTTATTTTTAGACCTTCATTAGAAAAAACATTGGTTTTTGTGGTTTATTTGTCCATCTATTTTTTGTTCTTCTATTTCACTATAGGGCTTCGCCTCTCATTTTATTGGTCGTGATTGGAAATGTTGGTTACATTTTTTAACATCACAAAGGTGATTATCATTATTAAATATTTGTATAATAGCAGATCATACATGTTACTTTAATGAGCGATGTCTGCAAGAAAACTGCATTTATGCATTTGCATTACGACACTACTGTTCATCTGCAAGTCTTCCTCGATTGGATGGATTTTGATACTGTGAAATCTATTTTAATAAACAATTTTTAAATCTAACCTATAATAATTATAGTCATTCACAAAAATATTGCATTTTGTTAAAGTTTCTAATGAATTCTTTGAACAAATACGTCTGCTTGACATAAAGTAAATTAAGTATACAAACAGTCTTCAGTCGAATTATGACTGGTTGGTATTTATACAGGGTGTTTCGCATAAGAACAGACACAGAGCAGGGGCATGTGGAGAAACCTAAAATATGGTGACTTAACACAACAATGTACTTTTATACTAAGCTGCAACCTTAAGTTATAGCTCTTAAAAGTGGAGTTTCGAATTTGGAAAAAAATCAATATTTTAGTTATACTTGAAATTAGAAAAACCAAATTTGGTACTAGTCGAGGAAATGAAACACTGAACCTCCGAAATCTGTGCAGTAAGATGGATCATGATACAGTTTTTTGCATTCGATTCGTTAGAGCGTCCAGAAAGTTTGTGACCTTATGTGATCAATGAGAAATGAAAATTGCATTGGTGCATAAGAAAAATGCATTTTTAAAATTGCATCGCGAAGAGTTAAAATATGAAAAATTTATAACTTGGATAATATTGACGGAAATGAGTTCAATTTTGCTACTCGGGGGTTTTTGGGGTCGCTGAATACGAATATCATGACGGCAACGGTCTCCGAGGTACCTAGTGCCCAGGGTGGCCGGTTTCCACCTCGTCTCTTGGAGTTTTGTGGGAATTCGTTATAAACATAGCCGAAACTTGTTACCTCGGGGCTTTTGAGGTCGTTCAACACGAATATCACGACGGTAACGGTTCTTAATTCTCAATTATTTTTTATTATAAAAATACATTTATTCGTTACAAAAAATACATGTTTTCAAAAAAATATTATACTTGGATGACTACAATTTAAATTTTTCTTATTTAATTTTTTAATTTTTATTATTATCTTCATCTTCTTCATGTCGCGTTTCCTGTTCCGAAAAAAAGATGTTTCATTATTCCTGCAATTAATGCCTGCACAATTTTTGCACTCGATGCTGCAGGCAATCCATGCTTCCTACATTCACACGAAGTTCCGGAATCGGTTTTGCACCCACAGAAAATCATATCCATGATTTACCTAGTCCACTTGGTGAACCAGGTGGAGTCATTTTAATGGGAACTAAGATTTGTTCTTTTAGTTCTCATTCCCAGTCTGTCGGATTCAAACCATTTTCATCTCCATATAGCCAGTTTTGCACTTGAAAGTATACTCTTTTCAACAAAAAACACGTGTGTGCTATAACTTGTTGCGTATCCGTATATACTAGTGTGTGTAAGAGTATATATTAGTATACAGGGTGGTCCGAATTTTATGCAGGAAACTTCGAGGACAGATAGATCTTTTTAAAATAGTAGGTGTTTGTCTTATAAACATAGGTCTGGAACGGCCTCGTTTTAGAGATACAGGGTGTTGAAGTTGTGAAAAAAAAAAATTTTTTTGTTTATATCTCTGAAATCCATCGACCGATTTTAATAAAATTTAGTACAGATAATGTATGATAGTAGGCCTTATATTCCCTAAAATATGAGCTCTAAAGATTCAACCAGTGGTGTACAACTGGACAGAGTCACCCCCTTTTTTATAAAAAAAACCTATGCCACTGTAGTTTTTACAAGCTATTGTAACAAATTTATATTCTAATGCACAAAATACGTAAAAAAGGTAATTTGAATTTTTTCCCTAAAGTTCACCGTTCTCTAGTTATTCATACCAATACAATCCCTTTGTGGCAGATACTTCTAACCATAATATTACAAGAATATTTATAATCAAAATTCTTTACACTCATCGCTTTCATCTTTTTGGATTAAAACAATATTTGGAAAATCTCTACAAAGGAATGAAGGACACAGAAATGAAATTTTGAAAGCATTTGACGACAATCCTCGGCTAAGTAGGTTCACGAAGAACGTCTCGGCAACTTGGGGTGAGTACTTCCGGGAGATGCAGAGACGCCTGAATTTTTATCAGTGGTTGTTTGAATTCTTACTAGAAATACTTTGGACCGATGAGGCTACGTTCACAAGGCGAAGGGTAGTGAATTTTCACAATCTGAATATTTGGACACAAAAAAATCCTCATGCAATTTGGAGTCA